TTATAGCAAATTTAATCCAGTTTCAACACACCCATAATATTTCTTTCGATCCTATAAATCCCGGAGGTATGATTGTTTTAAATCGCCAGTGTAGTTATTTAGGTTAAGATGAGAAACCGCAATTAACAACAACATATCTCATGAACGAATTGAGATATCGTCATGAAATAAGAAGCATTTTAAAGCAAATTTAGTCACTATTAAAGTGTTGCAAAATCTTTTTAATTTATACTTGTCAAAAGTTTTTAGATTCATTTTGACAATATTGAGACTATTTTAAGACACGAAAAATTGAAAACATTCAGTCAATTGCCAAACCTGAAATAGCTTTGACCGGACTGTGTGCATGGTGCATTAATACGATTGTAAAAGATTAACTTTACGACGCGAAACGACAATTATTGCCAACCCATCGTGATTGTGACTTCTTCTTCTCCACCGCCTTCTTCATCTCCTTCTCTTTCTTCACTTCGTCTTCTTTATAGAGATGAAACTGACGGTCGACAATTTTTCTTTTCGTCTCACTTGCACCCGAAATTTTGCACCATTTATGTCTCCCTCTTTCTTGCAGCTTCCACCTCGGCTTCTGATGCTTGCACACACTGCGACAAACCGTTCTGGACGTGGAAAAAATTACTGATGATTTCATGACGACGCATAATGCACCGAGCTGCCGAACATGCTGCTGTTGCAACGAAACGACGACTGCAGTAATTGCGTTCGAAGATTAACGGACGGCGAAATGGGAAGAAGAAAAAAAATGTGAACGAAAAATAAATAAAAAAGGAATTGTGAGAGAGAAATATATAAAAATGTTTTCTGATTTCTTTTGGATTATGTTTTTTTGTTGCGTTCAATCGGTATCGACACCGTCCAATATCTTCGTACATTTACGATCTTCATTGTTTATTGGTTTTCTTAGAAGTTGCTTTGAAGCTCTCCCGGTAGTAGTTTAATAAAATTATTAAGGTCGATGAAAACAAAATATAGCATTCTTGTATAAATCCATTATTTCTTTATTACTACTTCACTCCCACTATCTAATAACACCATCTTTTGTCGGCTTAAAACTTTAAGTCAACATTTCCTACTTTCACACTGCTTAACGAGCTGGGTTCCAACATAAAATATGAACAAAATAATAAACAGTGTTTCAATTTCGTGTCATTAATGAGAAAGAAGTTTTAGAATGTTACATTTTAGATTTCATAAAAAAATTGAGTAACCAGAATTTCAAAAATATAAAAAAGAATAAGATTATCGTAAAGACCAGAAAATTTTAACCTAATTTGATGTATCACACTCTATATTTATCACACAAATCACTTTTTGAGCGCCATTTTTTTGTGTTTTGTTTTCGGCCATCTTGATTTTATAAAAATAATGATATCTCGGGGGTTATAACACCTAGATGTGTCGAGTTTGGACTCATTTTACATGATTTTTGATTTTTTCTCGTAATATTTAGGAATTATTTACTTAAAAAATTTTAAAATTTAAATATCTCGATTAAGCTAGAAGAAAAAATCTGGAATTGCACTGGTTTGAGTGCAAACGTCACAAACATGTATGAAATTGTAATGACCTTAGAGTATATAGCAAGAAAATCATTTGGACTAGCTCTATTCAAAGTCAAAAATTAATGGAAATTGCAGAAATTAAGCTGGCATAATTCAAAATTACAAAAAAAGGCTGTGATGTTCTGAAAGGATTCTAAACTGCAAGAAGAAAAAAGATGTTGAAATTAGGATAAGTTTGAAATTATCAAAAAAAGTTAAAATTTCATAAAATCACAACGAGCTTATTTTTGAGAGTAAAAAAATAATTTATGTCTCTTATTGAAGATTAAAGCTTCTACTTTAAGATGGTATATGATATGTATGGTATTTGATTATAAAAATTTTGAGATAAAAGTGTTTGAAAAAATGTTGAAATTAGGATAAGTTTGAAATTATCAAAAAATGTACAAATTTTATAAAATCACAACGAGCTTATTTTTGAGAGTAAAAAAATAATTTATGTCTCAAATTGAAGATTAAAGCTTCTACTTTAAGATGGTGTATGATATGTATGATATTTGATTATAAAAATATTGAGATAAAAGTGTTTGAAAAAATGTTGTTGGAATTATTATAAGTTTGAAATTACCGAAAAATGTAAAAATTTTATAAAATCACAACGAGCTTATTTTTGAGAGTAAAAAAATAATTTATGTCTCAAATTGAAGATTAAAGCTTCTACTTTAAGATGAGATATGATATGTATGGTGTTTGATCATAAAAATTTTGAGATATAAGTGCTTGAAAAAATGTTGAAATTAGGATAAGTTTGAAATTATCAAAAAAAGTAAAAATTTCATAAAATCACAACGAGCTTATTTTTGAGAGTAAAAAAATAATTTATGTCTCAAATTGAAGATTAAAGCTTCTACTTTAAGATGGTGTATGATATGTATGGTATTTGATTATAAAAATTTTGAGATAAAAGTGTTTGAAAAAATGTTGTTGAAATAAGATGAATTTGAAATTATCCAAAAATGTAAAAATTTCATAAAATCACAACGAGCTTATTTTTGAGAGTAAAAAAATAATTTATGTCTCAAATTGAAAATTAAAGCTTCTACTTTAAGATGGTATATGGTATGTATGGTATTTGATTATAAAAATTTTGAGATAAAAGTGTTTGAAAAAATGTTGTTGGAATTAAGATAAGTTTGAAATTATCAAAAAATGTACAAATTTTATAAAATCACAACGAGCTTATTTTTGAGAGTAAAAAAATAATTTATGTCTCAAATTGAAGATTAAAGCTTCTACTTTAAGATGGTATATGATATGTATGGTATTTGATTATAAAAATTTTGAGATATAAGTGTTTGAAAAAATGTTGGAATTAGGATAAGTTTGAAATTATCAAAAAAAGTAAAAATTTCATAAAATCACAATGAGCTTATTTTTGAGAGTAAAAAAATAATTTATGTCTCAAATTGAAGATTAAAGCTTCTACTTTAAGATGGTGTATGATTTGTATGGTATTTGATTATAAAAATTTTGAGATAAAGGTGTTTGAAAAAATGTTGTTGAAATAAGATGAATTTGAAATTATCCAAAAATGTTAAAATTTCATAAAATCACAACGAGTTTATTTTTGAGAGTAAAAAAATAATTTATGTCTCAAATTGAAGATTAAAGCTTCTACTTTAAGATGGTGTATGATATGTATGGTATTTGATTATAAAAATTTTGAGATAAAAGTGTTGGAAAAAATGTTGTTGAAATAAGATAAGTTTGAAATTATCAAAAAAAGTTAAAATTTCATAAAATCACAACGAGCTTATTTTTGAGAGTAAAGAAATAATTTATGTCTCAAATTGAAGATTAAAGCTTCTACTTTAAGATGATATATGATATGTATGGTGTTTGATTATAAAAATTTTGAGATAAAAGTGTTTGAAAAAATGTTGTTGAAATAAGATGAATTTGAAATTATCCAAAAATGTAAAAATTTCATAAAATCACAACGAGCTTATTTTTGAGAGTAAAAAAATAATTTATGTCTCAAATTGAAGATTAAAGCTTCTACTTTAAGATGGTATATGATATGTATGGTATTTGATTATAAAAATTTTGAGATAAAAGTGTTTGAAAAAATGTTGAAATTAGGATAAGTTTGAAATTATCAAAAAATGTACAAATTTTATAAAATCACAACGAGCTTATTTTTGAGAATAAAAAAATAATTTATGTCTTAAATTGAAGATTAAAGCTTCTACTTTAAGATGGTATATGATATGTATGGTATTTGGTTATAAAAATTTTGAGATAAAAGTGTTTGAAAAAATATTGTTGAAATAAGATAAGTTTTGAAATTATCGAAAAATGAAAAATATCATAAAATCACAACGAGCTTATTTTTGAGAGTAAAAAAATAATTTATGTCTCAAATTGAAGATTAAAGCTTCTACTTTAAGATGGTATATGATTTGTATGATATTTGATTATAAAAATTTTGAGATAAAAGTGTTTAAAAAAATGTTGTTGAAATGGAGGAGTATTTTGACATTCAATAACAAGTTTTTTCTATTTCTTGGCATCTTAGAACCCTTCAAAAATTTTTTCTATAGAAGATACGAAGTTCTGTTCTTAATATTTCGATTTTGACAAATAAGCAGAGAATATTTCCTAATTTAGACACCACATTCCAAATACTTTATGGCAGAGGTTAAGAAACAAGTCATGTGTTAAGGAGATCACATTCCAGTCTTTGTGGTGATGATGAAATGTTGAAAAAACTTTGTCATAAGAATGGCTGTTGCCAAAATTTTAGACACAAGACACTCTTTACTATGAGATTGTGGAACAAAAGATAACCAGAATGATAGCCAATCTTAAATTAATTATTTTTCTTTTCTAATTTCCCACAAAAACAGGAAACTGGTGCGTTTCCAAACATCCACGTCATCACTTCCTTCCTAATCCGATTACAACTTTTAATTCCTCCATTATTATTCGATTCCTTTCTTTTGATAATTTTTCAAATTGATAAGAAAGATCCCTACCACGCAACATTTATCGAAAACATTTTAACCGACCGACCAATCATCAACAATTCGTATCCCCGAGCACTCTTTAATCGAAATCGCACTCTGTACTATAATAATAATCATATTTGTGGTAAAGATCGCTCCGCCTTTGTTACCACCCCAGCCATCTGAGAAAATATAACTTCAACCAATCCAAGTAGACGCGAGTCCACTCTCTCCTAATCACCGACGTGCCTTGAATTCTCCAACGAATACCAACCTTATGTTACCCCTATATAAAGATCAAGTCGACACGCGACAACCTGTCGACTGCGATCGTAAAGTTTAAACAGTTGGTATCTCCGTCTTTGTCTGAATCGATGATTAGTGATATAAAGCGATCTCTCTCTTGACTATTATACCGCCGGTTAACCGCAGTATTCAGTCAATGAAGTCCTGATTCGGTTGTTTAGTTACGTCGCGACCGTCGCGCTGAATGTTGGTATGCGTGTTCTCCGCTTACTACGTTTGAAATATCGAGTTGGCGGCGTGAGGTTCCTCGAGTACGTGATTTCGAAAAGTTCATTTCGAATTGATCGTCGGAAAGATTCGGAATTAAGCGAGATTTTTTTTATTATTTTGACTCTACGGATTTTTCATTTACGTCACGCGATTCTGACGTATTTGTGGTTCTCTTTCTGTTTATTTTGCAAAGTTATGAATCATCGTCAACGGTACTAAACGTAGTGATGTTTATGTTGTTCTTGTTTTGTTTTTGGAAAAGAAATCGAAAAGAAGTGTAAATAAAAGGGATCAGAAAAAAGTTAATCGAGCCGAGTTAAAAGAAAAGGTAAAAAGTTAATAATAAATTGGACGCCGAGAATTTTTTATGTGTTTGTTTTGTTTCATTAATTAGAATTTGAAATGGAAGAGGGGATTTTTTTATATCTATTGTATTAATTTATTAGATTTTTTCATACCAGGATAATAATAAATAAGAAATGGGATTTAAACCAAATCAAAAAGGAGATTTCAAACTTTAATTTAATGCATAAATCATCTCTTAACTCCCAAAAATAAAGCCTGGGTGAATTTTTAAAGTTTGGGTTCAATTTTAAGATTTACCCCATAACCTAAAAATCAACAATTTCTTTAAAAAGTTGTAACTAACGAATTAATCCGACCTAAGAAACGATTCTTATATCGAATTAAAGCCGACTTTATAAACTTTAATTTGCACTATAACCCATTTTTGAATTCACTTTAATTCGATCTCCACGCTCCTTTAAAGTTGGTGTTAAAAATTATATTTTACGATTAATTCACTTTTTGGTATAATCTTAAAAACATCGTAACTACCTAATTTCTATTAACGAAGAAATGGGATTTATACCAAATCAAAAAGGAGATTTCAAACTTTAATTTGATGTATAAATCGTTTCTTAGCTCCCAAAAATAAAGTCGGGGTGAATTTTTAAAGTTTGGGTTCGATTTTGACGTTTACCCCATAACCTAAAAATCAACAATTTCTTTAAAAAGTTGTAACTAATGAATTAATGGGAGTTAAGAAACGATTCTTGTGTCATATTAAAGAGGACTTTATAAAGTTTAATTTGCACCATAACCCATTTTTGAATTCGCTTTAATTCGATCTCCACGCTCCTTTAAAGTTGGTGTTAAAAATTATATTTTATGATTAATTCACTTTTTGGTATAATCTTAAAAACATCGTAACTACCCAATTTCTATTAACGAAGAAATGGGATTTATACCAAATCAAAAAGGAGATTTCCAACTTTAATTTGATGTATAAATCGTTTCTTAGCTCCCAAAAATAAAGTCGGGGTGAATTTTTAAAGTTTGGGTTCGATTTTGACGTTTACCCCATAACCTAAAAATCAACAATTTCTTTAAAAAGTTGTAACTAATGAATTAATGGGAGCTAAGAAACGATTCTTATGTCATATTAAAGAGGACTTTATAAAGTTTAATTTGCACCATAACCCATTTTTGAATTCACTTTAATTCGATCTCCACGCTCCTTTAAAGTTGGTGTTAAAAATTATATTTTATGATTAATTCACTTTTTGGTATAATCTTAAAAACATCGTAACTACCCAATTTCTATTAACGAAGAAATGGGATTTATACCAAATCAAAAAGGAGATTTCCAACTTTAATTTGATGTATAAATCGTTTCTTAGCTCCCAAAAATAAAGTCGGGGTGAATTTTTAAAGTTTGGGTTCGATTTTGACATTTACCCCATAACCTAAAAATCAACAATTTCTTTAAATAGTTGTAACTAACGAATTAATCCGACCTAAGAAACGATTTTTATATCAAATTAAAGCCGACTTTATAAACTTTAATTTGGACCATAACCCATTTTTGAATTCGCTTTAATTCGATCTCCACACTCCTTTAAAGTTGGTGTTAAAAATTATATTTTATGATTAATTCACTTTTCGGTACAATCTTAAAAACATCGTAACTACCTAATTTCTATTAACGAAGAAATGGGATTTATACCAAATCAAAAAGGAGATTTCAAACTTTAATTTGATGTATAAATCGTTTCTTAGCTCCCAAAAATAAAGTCGGGGTGAATTTTTAAAGTTTGGGTTCGATTTTGACGTTTACCCCATAACCTAAAAATCAACAATTTCTTTAAAAAGTTGTAACTAATGAATTAATCCGACCGAAGAAACGATTTTTATATCAAATTAAAGCCGACTTTATAAACTTTAATTTGCACAATAACCCATTTTTGAATTCGCTTTAATTCGATCTCCACGCTCCTTTAAAGTTGGTGTTAAAAATTATATTTTACGACTAATTCACTTTTTGGTACAATCTTAAAAACATCGTAACTACCTAATTTCTATTAACGAAGAAATGGGATTTATACCAAATCAAAAAGGAGATTTCAAACTTTAATTTGATGTATAAATCGTTTCTTAACTCCCAAAAATAAAATATGGGTGAATTTTTAAAATTTGGGTTCGATTTTGACGTTTACCCCATAACCTAAAAATCAACAATTTCTTTAAAACGTTGTAACTAATGAATTAATGGGAGCTAAGAAACGATTCTTATGTCATATTAAAGAGGACTTTATAAAGTTTAATTTGCACCATAACCCATTATTGAATTCATATTAATTCAATCTCCACGTTTGTTTAAAGTTGCAGTTTTGAAATTTATGTTGGTGAAAACTATGCCGGAACAAAATCCGATCATAAATGTTAGTATATAACAAAACGATTGCGAGGTTGACGTTTTAACGAGTATTTAACGATGGAAATTGCTTACAATGCGATTTGTATTAGCAAGGTAATTGCGGTTCGTCAATTTGCCCCTGCGATTTTATTTCAGCTCGCGAAACCGTGCCTAATAGGGTCATTGTTATATTAGTTTAAATGTCTTAATAGTAATGTTGAGTAAAGATTTGAGTGAAGAAGTTGAAAAATAAATAATAAAGATGGATTTCTTTTCTGGTCGTTGGCCTACGGCGAATTGTTCACTGTAACCATACAAAACAGACTAAAACGAGGATGGTTTAACGGTGCCGCCGTCTTGTAATGAAAAATCAACGAAAACGTCCAGAAAAGTTTTATAAATTTTACGGTAGCTTTTGTTCCAGGTTAAAAAATTAACGGGAAAGTTTGATGAAAAATAAGAAAAAACAATTAGAAAAACCTGAAAGGCTTTAAAAAGAAATAATTAACGGGAAAAATCTTCATCAAATAAGTTAAATTGGATAAGAAAGAAAAACAGATATCTATTAAAAATTAATTACGTACTTAAATTTATTATTAACTGTTGATTTTTTTTGTTGTTCGAAACAAATATTTCGATCTAAGATGAGTTTGTTTGTTCCAAAAAAAATTCTTAATCAAAGTAAAATTGGAAAATTTTAAATTGCTATTTTAACTGTAAATCTCTATAACAAACGATTAAACTTCGAGAAATGAAAGAAATTCCATTCTGTTTGGTTTCGTTCTTCTTACTCGCCACAATGCGTTTACAAACAAAAAAAATAAAATACTGTTCACGTGCTGGAATCAAATAACGGTTTATAGGTACCACAAGAATGAGGAAATATCACACTTCGTAAATAGTGCTATAATGTTTTAATTAAATCACATAAGTTTTCGCAATAAACAAACAAATTCTACTTCACAATCTTTCTGTTTCTTTAATAAACAATTTGTAACATTTTTATGAATCCACTGCAATTTTGAAAGAAGTTGCGAATTTTTCAATTATTTAAACATTTTCTAATCCAAACCACCATAACTTCTTAAGTTGTATTTTTATAATAATTTGGTGTATTTATTTGGAATCTGCATTCATTTTGGTACAAAAATCAAAAATTTCATGCTTCCAGCTCAATTTTTAAAGAAGTTGTAAATTTTAATATCCCCAAGAAGCTGCTTTTTCGGTTATTTTGTACTATTTCTAATTCAACCCAACATATCTTCCTTACCGTTACTCCAATAATAATTTGGCATATTTTATTGAAATCTACACTCATTTTAGTACAAACGGTGAAAATTTCATGATTCCAACTCTATTTTTAAAGAAGTTGTGAATTTTCTTATTCGCAAGAAGCTATTTTGCGGTCATTTTAAACATTCTCTAATTCAACCCACCATAACTTCTTTATTATTACTCTAATAGTAATTTGGTATATTTTATTGTAATCAGCATTCATTTTAGTACAAAAATCAAAAATTTCATGATTCCAACTCCAGTCTTAATGAAGTTATGAATTTTCTTATCCTCAAGAAGCTGTTTTTCCAGTCATTTTAAACATTCTCTAATTCAACCCACCATAACTTCTTTATTATTACTCCAATAGTAATTTGGTATATTTTATTGTAATCAGCATTCATTTTAGTACAAAAATCAAAAATTTCATGATTCCAACTCCATTCTTAATGAAGTTGTGAATTTTCTTATCCTCAAGAAGCTGTTTTTCGTTAATTTTGAACGTGTTCTAATTCAACCCAACATATCTTCCTTACCGTTACTCCAATAGTAATTTGGTATATTTTATTTAAATCTGCATTCATTTTAGTACTAAAACCAAAAATTTCATGCTTCCAACTCAATTTTTAAAGAAGCTGTGAATTTTCTTATCCGCAAGAAGCTGTTTTTCCGGTCATTTTAAACATTCTCTAATTCAACCCAACATATCTTCCTTATCGTTACTCCAATAGTAATTTGGTATATTTTATTGTAATCTGCATTCATTGTAGTACAAAAATCAAAAATTTCATGATTCCAACTCTATTTTTAATGAAGCTGTGAATTTTCTTATCCGCAAGAAGCTGTTTTTTCGGTCATTTAAAACATTCTCTAATTCAATCCACCATAACATCTTAATCGTTACTCCAATAGTAATTTGGTAGATTTTATTGTAATCTGCATTCATTTTAGTACAAAAACAAAAAATTTCATGATTCCAACTCCATCCTTAATGAAGTTATGAATTTTCTTATCCTCAAGAAGCTGTTTTTCGTTAATTTTGAACGTGTTCTAATTTAACCCAACATATCTTCCTTACCATTACTCCAATAGTAATTTGGTATATTTTATTGAAATCTGCATTCATTTTAGTACAAAAATCAAAAATTTCATGATTCCAACTCTATTTTTAAAGAAGCTATGAATTTTCCTATCTGCAAGAAGCTGTTTTTTCGATCATTTTAAACATTCTCTAATTCAACCTACCATAACTTCTTTATCATTACTCCAATAGTAATTTGGTATATTTTATTGTAATCTGCATTCATTTTAGTACAAAAATAAAAAATTTCATGATTCCAACTCCATTATTAATGAAGTTATGAATTTTCTTATCCTCAAGAAGCTGTTTTTCGTTAATTTTGAACGTGTTCTAATACAACCCAACATATCTTCCTTACCGTTACTCCAATAGTAATTTGGTATATTTTATTGAAATCTGCATTCATTTTAGTACAAAATTCAAAAATTTCATTCTTCCAACTCAATTTTTAAAGAAGCTATGAATTTTCTTATCCTCAAGAAGCTGCTTTTTTAATTATTATGAACATTCTCTAATTCAACTCGCCATAACTTCTTTATCATTACTCCAATAGTAATTTGGTATATTTTATTGTAATCAGCATTCATTTTAATACAAAAATCAAAAATTTCATGCTTCCAGCTTAATTTTTAAAGGAGCTGCGAATTTTAATATCCCCAAGCAGCTGTTTTTCGTTAATTTTGAACGTGTTCTAATTCAACCCAACATATCTTCCTTACCGTTACTCCAATAGTAATTTGGTATATTTTATTGAAATCTGCATTTATTTTAGTACAAAAATCAAAAATTTCATGATTCCAACTCTATTTTTAAAGAAGCTATGAATTTTCTTATCCTTAAGAAGCTCCTTTTTTAATTATTATGAACATTTTATAATTCAACTCGCCATAACTTCTTTATCATTACTCCAATAGTAATTTGGTATATTTTATTGTAATCAGCATTCATTTTAGTACAAAAATCTAAAGTTTCATGATTCCAACTCCATTCTTAATGAAGTTATGAATTTTCTTATCCTCAAGAAGCTGTTTTTCGTTAATTTTGAACGTGTTCTAATTTAACCCAACATATCTTCCTTACCATTACTCCAATAGTAATTTGGTATATTTTATTGTAATCAGCATTCATTTTAGTACAAAAATCTAAAGTTTCATGATTCCAACTCCATTCTTAATGAAGTTATGAATTTTCTTATCCTCAAGAAGCTGTTTTTCGTTAATTTTGAACGTGTTCTAATTCAACCTAACATATCTTCCTTACCGTTACTCCAATAGTAATTTGGTATATTTTATTGTAATCTGCATTCATTGTAGTACAAAAATCAAAAACTTCATGATTCCAACTCAATTTTTAAAGAAGCTGTGAATTTTCTTATCCGCAAGAAGCTGCTTTTCAGGTCATTTTAAACATTCTTTAATTCAACCCACCATAACTTCTTTATCGTTACTCCAATAGTAATTTGGTAGATTTTATTGTAATCTGCATTCATTTTAGTACAAAAACAAAAAATTTCATGATTCCAACTCCATTATTAATGAAGTTATGAATTTTCTTATCCTCAAGAATCTGTTTTTTCGGTAATTTTAAACATTCTCTAATTCAACCCACCATAACTTCTTTATCATTACTCCAATAGTAATTTGGTATATTTTATTGTAATCAGCATTCATTTTAGTACAAAAATCTAAAGTTTCATGATTCCAACTCCATTTTTGAATGAAGTTATGAATTTTCTTATCCTTAAGAAGCTCCTTTTTTAATTATTATGAACATTTCATAATGAACCCACCATAACTTCTTTATCATTACTCCCATAGTAATTTGGTATATTTTATTGAAATCTGCATTCATTTTAGTACAAAAATCAAAAATTTTATGATTCCAACTCAATTTTTGAATGAATTATGATTTTTTTTGTCGAAATTTTAACCTTTTTCGTGAAATTTTCGTTAAGTCTTCGTTTTAAATATCTTTATTATATCTTATATATCTCCAACAACTTAACATTTTTTATTAAAATCTGCACCCCTTTTTATACAATTCGTAAAATTTACGTGATTCCAACCCAACAAAATAAAACTTAAAAACCGTAAATTGCAAGATTTCTCTTAAAAAGTCTATTTTAATTATTTCAAATGAAATAATTAAATGTAGGTATAAGATTGGCAACAATTATATATATATATACGAAATAACACACCTGTTAATAGCAAAACTCATCGGTAAGCAATTATCTTTGGGTAATTGCTCATTAACCAGTTAAATTGATCGATTAAATTTTTGAAGAAAATTAATCGATCCGATCCAATGGCGATTTTATGCCAATTTTTATTGGCTTCCGTTTCACACCGCAATTTACAACCCAACTGGTGACGAGCTAACCCGATTGGTTATAAATCAAAGAGATATTTAACGTTCCAAGCAATCAGATCATTTTCGTTTTTCAAATATAAGCGCAAACAACCTGAGGCACATCCAACATAACTAATTTGAAAACGTGCTCATGTATAACGACGTTTTGTTATATAATTTTTTTCTTTTTCAGATATCTTCGAAATCACATCCATGTCACTTCAAATGTACTCAAATTCTTCTTCCTTTCATTACTTAATCAGGTTTCTAATTCATTAAAATTCCAATCCCGTTCCATATGCATCTGCCAGTGTCATTGTCCAACTGTGCCGTACCAGAAGAAACCTGGACGAAATCACCAATGATGTGCGAACCAGGCAGTGGTTACGCAACCCAAGAACTTTGGTGGACCGAGCGATTGATTCAAGAGAAGCAAACGGAATTTCCGGGCGAATTAGTGCGGACCGGAAGTCCGTTTTTCTTATGTTCCGCTTTACCCAGTCATTGGAGGTCGAACAAAACTCTTCCGGTCGCCTTTAAAGTGGTCGCATTGGGCGATATCGGTGACGGGACGCAAGTGACAGTGAGGGCGGGAAACGATGAAAATTGTTGTGCTGAATTAAGGAACTGTACGGCTTACATGAAGAACCAAGTTGCTAAATTTAACGACTTAAGATTCGTTGGGAGAAGTGGAAGAGGTAAGAAGAATAAAAATTAAGTTAAAAGCCATATCTCAAAGAGTTTATTATAAAATGTAATGTAATATATCATCTTAAAGAGGAAGCTTTTAGCTTTAATCTGGCATATAAGTCACTTCTTTATACCAAGACATAAGTATAGAATGGCTTTTTGAAGTTTATGTTAATTTATTAAAACTGTCAAAATTTAGGCCTCCATGTTTTAAGCTATATCTCCAAGAATTTATTATAAAATCTAATGCGTGATATATCACCTTAAAGAGGAAGCTTTTAGCTTTAATCTGATATACAAGTCACTTCTTTATAGCAAGAAATAAATTTAATATGATTTTTTAAATTTTATGTGAATTTATTAAAAACGTCAAAATTCAGGTCTCTAATTTTTAAGTTATATCTCCAAGAATTTATTATACAATCTAATGCGTGATATATCACCTTAAAAAAGAAGCTTTTAGCTTTAATCTGACGTATAAGTCACTTCTTTATACCAAGAAATGAATTTAATATGATTTTTTAAATTTTAAGTTAATTTATTAAAAACGTCAAAATTTAGGTTTCCAATTTTTAAGTTATATCTCCAAGAATTTATTATAAAATCTAATGCGTGATATATCATCTTAAAGAGGAAGCTTTTAGCTTTAATCTGATATATAAGTCACTTCTTTATACCAAGAAATGAATTTAATATGATTTTTTAAATTTTAAGTTAATTTATTAAAAGCGTCAAAATTTAGACTTCCAATTTTTAAGTTATATCTCCAAGAATTTATTATAAAATCTAATGCGTGATATATCACCTTAAAGAGGAAGCTTTTAGCTTTAATCTGACATATAAGTCATTTCTTTATACCAAAAAATGAATTTAATATGATTTTTTAAATTTTATGTGAATTTATTAAAAACGTCAAAATTCAGGTTTCCAAGTTTTAAGTTATATCTCCAAGAATTTGTTATAAAATCTAATGCGTGATATATCACCTTAAAGAGGAAGCTTTTAGCTTTAATCTGACGTATAAGTCACTTCTTTATACCAAGAAATAAATTTAATATGATTTTTTAAATTTTATGTGAATTTATTAAAAACGTCAAAATTCAGGTTTCCAATTTTTAAGTTATATCTCCAAGAATTTATTATAAAATCTAATGCGTGATATATCATCTTAAAGAGGAAGCTTTTAGCTTTAATCTGACGTATAAGTCACTTCTTTATACCAAGAAATGAATTTAATATGATTTTTTAAATTTTAAGTTAATTTATTAAAAACGTCAAAATTCAGGTTTCCAATTTTTAAGTTGTATCTCCAAGAATTTATTATAAAATCTAATGCGTGATATATCCACTTAAAGAGGAAGCTTTTAGCTTTAATCTGATATATAAGTCACTTCTTTATACCAAGAAATGAATTTAATATGATATTTTAAATTTTAAGTTAATTTATTAAAAACGTCAAAATTTAGGTTTCCAATTTTTAAGTTATATCTCCAAGAATTTATTATAAAATCTAATGCGTGATATATCATTTTAAAGAAGAAGCTTTTAGCTTTAATCTGATATATAAGTCACTTCTTTATACCAAGAAATGAATTTAATATGATTTTTTAAATTTTAAGTTAATTTATTAAAAGCGTCAAAATTTAGACTTCCAATTTTTAAGTTATATCTCCAAGAGTTTATTATAAAATCTTATGCGTGATATATCATCTTAAAAAGGAAGCTTTTAGCTTTAATCTGATATATAAGGCACTTCTTTATGCCAAGAAATAAATTTAATATGATTTTCTAAATTTTAACTTAATTTATTAAAAATGTCAAAATTTAGACTTCCAATTTTTATGTTATATCTCCAAGAATTTATTATAAAATCTAATGTGTGATATATCATCTTAAAGAGGAAGCTTTTAGCTTTAATCTGACGTATAAATCACTTCTTTATACCAAGAAATGAATTTAATATGATTTTTTAAATTTTAAGTTAATTTATTAAAAACGTCAAAATTCAGGTTTCCAATTTTTAAGTTATATCTCCAAGAATTTATTATAAAATCTAATGCGTGATATATCATCTTAAAGAGGAAGCTTTTAGCTTTAATCTGACGTATAAGTCACTTCTTTATACCAAGAAATGAATTTAATATGATTTTTTAAATTTTAAGTTAATTTATTAAAAACGTCAAAATTCAGGTTTCCAATTTTTAAGTTATATCTCCAAGAATTTATTATAAAATCTAATGCGTGATATATCATTTTAAAGAAGAAGCTTTTAGCTTTAATCCAAGATACAAGTCACTATTTTACACCAAAAAATAAGGTTGGAATGATTTTTTAAAGTTTACGTTCAAATTTATGATTTTAATTTAGACTATTAATTTTTAAGTTGTATCTCAAAAAGTTTTTCATAGAACCTAATGGGTTATATATCATTTTAAAAAGGAAACTTTAAGCTTTAATTTAATGTGTATATTATTTATTTTCACCGAAAAATAAGTTTAGAATGATTTTTTTAAAGATATGTTTGGGTTCTATGATTTGACTTGTGCATGCTTATCTTTAAAATTTTTCTAATTGAAACAATTAATTATATGTTATCAAAAAGAGGAAGGTTTAAGCTTTAATTTGATACAAGACTCATTTAATAATGTTCAAAAATAAGATTTTTTTGAATTTTATCACTTTTTAACTATTTGGGTTTAAACCTAAATATGCATAGATATCGATAAAAAATTTTTGAATCAAATTGAAGTAATTAATTATATGTTATCAAAAAGAGAAAGGTTTAAGCTTTAATTTGATACAAGACTCATTTAATAATTTTCAAAAATAAGATTTCCACGATTTTACGAAATAAAAAGAATAAATATTTTGAAATCCAGTTCTTAATTGCGTTAAGTGTGTTAATATTATCGCTTGTTTTGTGCCAATAAAATTAATCAATTTTATTTATTTATTTATTTTTTTGTTGTTATATCTCTCGTGAGTGCGGTTGGTTCGTTTAAGAATTCACATCTGTAAGATTTATGCCACGCAAAGAACTGCCCTAGTTTTAATCATCTCAATAATTCGCTTCCCAATTAATTTTTATCGACTTGTCGTCGTCATCGTTCTCGTTTTAACCGGTGCACTCGTTTTGCCATTTCGAATAATGGATGAACCCGAAGCGATTTCAAATGACCATCGTCGGTGTGGTCACCAGAAAGCATTGCGAATAATTTACAGGTTAATTGGCCGTTAGAACTCAACTGTAAAACTTGCCAATACAAAAGAAACGATTTCTAAGTTACGATTTGAATACTTTAAGATTGGTGATCAGAGATGGACGTGGTTAATAGGCAGCTATAGCCGATCTTGAAGATGTATGTGCCAACACTAAACCTTTTTGCTCTTAAGAGATATCGACATAATTTACAGGTTGATTGGCGTCCGATCGGCTTCTATTTGCGCATTCCTGTCCTTCTAATTATAGCTTTATAGCCGCTACAGCGGTGAAATCCATAAACAGGGAAAATTTATTCAATGACCAAGTGTGACATGAACCATGCAAGACCAAGTTGTCGTTCTCACAGGAATCACTCACTTTTTTAACATCATTTGCCTTAAACGACATTTTAAAGATCTTAATTGAAAAATTTGTTTTGAAAGATTTACAACATAGCTGAATAACGAATTTAAATAACATTTATTTTAATTCTCGATAAAAAGAGACGCGGATGTTAGATGATATATGACTCCCATTACAAATAATCGCTTTCCATAACCAAACCTGCATACATAAATCTAACGTTCTCCTTTTTCGGCTATCCGTGGCTGCCATTTACAATTAGATAATTAATATAACAAGCAGAAAACAGGAAGCGAACAACCTCGTTAATAAGAAAATCAATTAAGGGCCCTTTTCTAATTAATCACGTATCCTCCACGCATGAACGCTATCAGCCTCTCTCAATATATTATGTATCATTTGTATAACGAGAAAACGGTATACGAATAAGTCGAATGACGAAGAAAACTTATTCGAAACGGATTCGGTTCAACACGGATAACGGATTCGAGAAATGTTAATTAAATAAAAAGAGAGTTTATAGCAAAAAATTAAATTAAATCTAAAAATTATGCTTAATTATTTGAGATATCTCCTTACATTTTTGATACAATTTAATGCGTGATATATTATCCTAAAGAGGAAGCTTTTAGCTTTAATTTGACATATAAGTCACTTCTTTGTACCAAGAAATAAATTTAATATGATTTTTTAAAGTTTATGTTAATTTATTAAAAGCATCAAAATTTAGACTTCCAATTTTTAAGTTATATCTCCCAGAATTTATTATAAAATCTAAAACATGATACATCATCTTAAAGAGGAAGCTTTTAGCTTTAATTTGACATATAAATCACTTCTTTATAACAAGAAATAAATATAATATGAGTTTTTAAATTTTATGTTAATTTATTAAAAACGTCAAAATTCAGGTTTCCAATTTTTAAGCTATATCTCCAAGAGTTCATTATAAAATTTTATGAGTGATATATCATCTTAAAGAGGAAGCTTTTAGCTTTAATTTGACATATAAGTTACTTCTTTATACCAAGAAATAAATTTAATATGATTTTTTAAATTTTAAGTTAATTTATTAAAAACGTCAAAATTCAGGTTTCCAATTTTTAAGCTATATCTCCAAGAATTTATTATAAAATTTTATGAGTGATATATCATCTTAAAGAGGAAGCTTTTAGCTTTAATTTGACATATAAGTTACTTCTTTATACCAAGAAATAAATTTAATATGATTTTTTAAATTCTATATTAATTTATTAAAAACGTCAACATTTTGACTTCCAATCTTTAAGCTATATCTCCAAAAATTTATTATAAAATCTAATGCGTGATATATCATCTTAAAGAGGAAACTTTTAGCTATAATCTGACATATAAGTCACTTCCTTATACCAAGAAATAAATTTAATATGATTTTTTCAATTTGAAGTTAATTTATTAAAAACG